ATATTTCAACGTTGTATTAAATGTATTGGTTTCATGATAATTACGCAAACTCAAGTTAATTTTTACTATTGTTAGGGCACTGACCCGGGGTATTGGGTCTGTGAATATTTCAATATTACCGACTTGATAATGCGTTGCATTTGTAATAATTACGCAAACATAAACATTGGCGCATTTAAATCATTAAAAATGATAGTAGTCGGGTATCTACGGAAAGTCGAGAAAATATTTTAAATACTTGTGATTCACCAATGTTCCAATGGTGATTTTTTTATTCGAAATGAAGTGAACATGTAATATAAACCATACCATGCATCAAGTTAAATTTTACTATAATATAATAAACTCTGGGCAGCGCACTTCGATCGCAATATTCACGTACATTTCGACTGAACTCTAATAACCACGCGTTTGAGTTCACGCACTGATATTTAAATTCGGGCCACCCAGCTTGACGCAAATCAATATAGTTACTTGTCATGTGTTCAAAAAAATCTTTCAACTCTCACAAATACCATGAACGCGAAGAGCTAACTGAAAGAGAACGTCTTTTTTGGAGAAAAAACACGTCAGTACAAGATTATGTGTACAAGGTTAGCTTTATAGAACGTACATCACGTAACGTACGTAAATCAATATAGTTACTTGTCATGTGTTCAAAAAATCTTTCAACTCTCACAAATACCATGAACGCAAAGAGCTAACTGGGGGTTAACTGAAAGAGAACGTCTTTTTTGGAGAAAAAACACGTCAGTACAAGATTATGTGTACAAGGTTAGCTTTATAGAACGTACATCACGTAACGTACGTAAATCAATATAGTTACTTGTCATGTGTTCAAAAAATCTTTCAACTCTCACAAATACCATGAACGCGAAGAGCTAACTGGGGGTTAACTGAAAATGAACGTTTTTTTTTTTGGAGAAAAAACACGTCAGTACAAGATTATGTGTACAAAGTTAGCTTTATAGAACATACATGATCTCTGTGTTTTTTAATAATCATGTCGCATGTGAAACGCAGGAGACATTTTAGTTCGCCCATTTCTTGTTTACCGACATTTTGTCTGGAATCCGATACAGACAAAGATTAAACATTACTGATAACAACCAAGAGGTTCGAACCAGGAAGGCTTGGATATTTTAAACTTCGTAAATAACATTATTTTCAAGCGTAGACTTTATTCGAGTGTAATAATACGTAACAACAATTCGTTTACAGCATTGGTTTTATTGAAGTTTTTAATGCTTTTCGGCTTTACAGTGAATTATTTTAGCGTCATATTTGAAATAGCGCGCTCGATACAGAATGTCGGACAGGAAAATTGGGGTCTGTAAAAATGTTTGTTGGTTCAGTCAGGCAATGTGTGGACCAAAACATCGCCCACTATTTGAAACATCGCCCATGGGCGGGGTTTAGGATGGGCGGGGTATCAGCCGAATCCGGTAATAGGTTTTCGTTTTGAAGATTTTCTTTTGAGCTGATAAAATTAACTTAAATGCTTGTGCAGTGTTGAGTTGAGATGCAAAGGCACTACGGTAGTAATTTTAAAATTTAAGTGAGTGCTCGTGATTGAAGCGGGTGATTTACCTGCTATTAAACACCCAAGGATCAAAATTGATTGGTTGACAGAGGTGTCTAGTTTATAGAGATCTTTTATTCAAGTAACATATATGTAAAACTCTATGCCTTAGACAAAGTTTTACAGGATGGTGGTTCTGTGTACATTAGTAAAAAACTTTTTGCTTGTCATAGTTCATTTGTTCTACTTATTATTTCACAGCTGAGGAGGAAGATGTTTTCCAGTGTGGTAAGTGCAAGAAACAGTTTTCAAATCTCCCAGCATTTATGGCTCACAAGAGGGAAAGATGCTTACCAGTACTGCAGCAAAACCAACCAAGACCTGTTAGCGTAACAACCACACATGCATTACCAAATCCTAACAGTGCATTTACTACATCAGTACAGCACCACACTCTCAATAGGCAAGTTGCTTATCCAGTAGCAGTGTCTGGACCAGTTCCTTCATCGCCGCTGACACAAAACATGAATATGTTAAATGATGACATGTTGATGTCAACATTCGGCAGTATGGATCAGTCTACCTTGCCAACCACAGCGTTTCAGACCGGAGCATTTCAAAGTACTCCAGTACAGACTGGACCTTTTCTTCATCAAGTTCAGCCACAAAGAACCAGTTCTATACCTACCACAGTTCAAACCGTACAACCTGGTGGTTTCTCGACCGTGAATGCAGCAGCTCTGACCAATACAGTTACCACCCTCCAGCACACTCAGATTGTACAGTCAATACAACAACAACAGCCTCATATGACTCAAATTAGTGTAGCCCAAGTACAAAAGCAGCCAAGCCCTCCAAAGCAGATGCAACCAACATCGAATAGACCCAATGTAAATGTCATCACTGATGTACAGGCTGTAGCAAAAAGACGGCGTAATGCCAATCAAGAGAGCGTGAAGAAACCAGGCAAGTTGAAGTGCACCTTCTGTGATAAGACCTTCAACAAAAACTTTGACCTGCAGCAGCACATTCGGAGCCACACAGGTGAGAAGCCATTTCAGTGCATTGTGTGTGGTAGGGCTTTTGCTCAGAAGTCCAACGTGAAGAAGCATATGCAGACACACAAAGTGTGGCCTCATGGGACTGGTAACACTCTGCCAAAGCAGGTAGGTAACAAAACTTTTTATATTTCTAATAGTTATTACTGTGGGAGCGACTAGGTTCTGATTAACTGATATTGAAAAATTTATGTGTAACACTATTCCATGTAATAAGGAACATGGTGCCTCGGCAGATGTTAAAACCTCAAGTATGTGTTTCACTTTTTGTAGAAAAAATCTCCACACATGCACTTATTTATATTCATATTTGTGACATAAAATCACTTTATTTGTAATATACGCAGTCTTACAATGCATAAATTCATTTTGGTGCAACGTAGTGACCTGAGAGCCGATGAAAATTGACTTGACTGACATTTGATGGGTGCTGTTCAAAACAGCTTGACCTGAAGTGAAATTATTTGCATTGTTAAAGGCCCATTAAATGTACCATAGTATCGTGAATGCTGAATAAAATTCACTAGATTCATAAACAAAGTCACTGTGGCCCACTAGTCCAGCTATACAAAAGGGGAAGTCTGGATGTACATTTCAATAACTCAATTTACATGCATGTTTTAAAAATTATAGAAGATTTTAATTTATCTCTAATAACTGAAGCTCTATCTACATTATTATACATCACTCACTGATATGCACTATAATGGGATTATTTTCTCGTTTAGCTAGACTAAATATTATTAAAATGATCAAATCTTTTATTTGACTCCAAAAATAGTAAAATAAGCCATTGATGCTATTGGAGTCGCCCAAGGCTGCTTACTGTAGAATCTGATTCAATGAAAACTATGTAAATCAGGGGTTTGCTAAATTCTGAAGTAGGCCCCAAGATTTAGAAAAGAGACAAAAATGTGACACTTTGTGAGTCTTAAAAATAATAAGTACACCTGGCTGAACTATAGACCATAGAAAAAAAAGGCTGAACTAGCCAAGTAGACCGCTATTTAGCTGTCTGTTGCCTTTTAACAAAACCCCTAGTAAATTATTTTAATTTAATTATTATACATTGTAATTCATTAGTATTTTCACATGTACTAGATGATGATTATATTTTATTGTCAATTGAATGTTCATTCAAGTTCAAGCAATTTAATCATAACAAGTTTCATAAATATTAAATGTTTCTGGACACTGATTTTTATAATTACTTGCTTTATTGTAGTATCGCTTCATAAAAATAAAATAAATCATTCGTTTTCTGTATTTGCTCTGTTACTTGAATATGCATACACAGGAGTGTCCTTGGTCAAAATAAGTAATACTTTAATAATTCAGTATACTATAAATACCGTTTAGGTTTTATATAGTCAATGAGCAAACACGGTGATTGTTAATATTATTAAATGACAGATTGTAGTATCATATAATCTTGCACACGTAAGTTTAGATTGTGGAAGCTGTGCCAACGAAGAATGCATATTTGTTTTAACAGGAGTTTTCACTTGGTTGCACAAAGTGAACACGTGTTAATATAGTATGGAAATAATGACCTGCATGTTAGATCTGCAGGATTTCATCCTCGTGAGACTTTAAATTAAATTACTAGTATGCATTTGTTAGCTAGAGCTAATAGGATACTGAACTCCGTCTAACACTGCTAAGGATTTTCATATTTTGCACATTTAATGGTTTTTGTAAAGATAACATTTTGTGAAATTGCTGTAGCTTTGTGTTTTTATGGGTCTCAGTGATATTCTCACTGCTACCAAATGTTTTTCACAGTATCTTTATACTGTCAGCAAAAAAGAAACTGCTAGTGTTCTCACCAGTAAATAGATATACATGTATAGGGCAGATTTGTTCCATCAGTTTAGAATGTATGTGATAATTTAGCAATCCATGAGAAACATGAGACTCGCACATAAAGTATTTTGTTCCTCTTATAGTAGTTCGTCTTAAAATCTTTATTATGAAAACATATGTTTGAATTATTATTTTACACTTTTTAATTGTCACTTGTAATCTCTTACATTTCTGTGAGACAATTTATCTCATGAGAGTAAAAAACCTGTGACAAAAAATTAAACCATGAGGCAAATGTCTCGTGTCTGGTAAGAACACTGCTCCTATGATTGACCCTGTAATATCCAGTATATTAAATGAGTTTTAGTCATTTTTTACAACTGTAAATCTGTAAATTCAAATATTATATGGCAACATATCAACTTGAATCCATCTATGTTATCTAACAAATTTTATGAAAAAAAGTGTTTGTACATGTATGTTATATCTGCAACTGAATGTGCAAATTTTGGCCTGAAAATGCAGTATTGCGAACCAGAAAATCCCTAATAAATGTCTCTCATCTAAACTGTATGTTGAAAAAGATGTCATGGGATCTTCCTCAATGTTCATGTAATACGCAATTTATGTAAGTACCATAACCCAGCAGTTCAGAGAGTTCCAAATGCATTTTTTAACACAATTGCGACAAAACTATTTAATGGAAACAAAGATTGTCAACGTTAAAATAGGATGTAGTCAGATGAAAATGAAAATCATACAAATTGAGCCAGTATGAAACGAGTGCCGCAACGATCAATGTAATGAATTTGTGATAAAACCAGGGCATTCTAAAAAAAAAACTTATATTCAGAATGAGGGTGGGATTTGGTGATGAGGTAACCTTTCTTTTCCAAATTCCTGGTACACTGAAAGATTAATATACCGTTATATATTTATTATGAGGCCCATACAATTTACATACAACACAAAATGTACCACAGTGCTTACAGAAGAAGAGAGAGAAAAAATATACAATATGTAAATGAAGTATCGTATAGATGCTCTAATGGGAGGCCACATTCCGTGCGCCTGGAGATCGTTACAAAACTAGAACAACCTGAGTCAAACCAACCTCAACAGGAGTCGTCAAACTAATAGTGGGGGACTCTTGACACATTGAATATAAATATAAGATCACGATGCGATTGCCTTTCAATTTATTTCATTCAATCGAATAAATTTGTATATAATAAATGGCAAAGTTATCCAAACAAAATGTATGTACTGACACAGTATGAAATGTCGATGGTGGTGTGTGTCATAATGCTCATAAATGAGTGCATTTAGCTGAACGACACATCCTCGTAAAAGTGGTTTGAAAAAATCATGCAACAATAAACCAGTCAGCAACTTAGCTGGTGATGTTGCTGTTTTGGTGTTTGAAACAATAAGGTAGTGAAAATAAAGTGGTTTGAGCTACCCTTTTGTCAAGAAGAAGATTATCCATGTAAACATTAGGATGTTTATTATACACCTAAAAACTATCATAAAACATATCACAATTTGTTTACTGAATTGATACCACTGAGATAATTTTGGCCCAGTATTACATGGTTTAAAAAAAATATGAAAAAAAATTAGTGAAAAACGTAGCTCATTGCTCTTTCAACAGGTTTTAGCTACACAGCTTCAACAAACTCGCGGACGCTTTCTTCATTCTTGAAACTAATATATCTCCTTGTAAATAGAAATTTAGACGTATTCAACCAAGTTAATAAAATGAAATTCCCGGTAGAAATTGAATAGCTGGTTAATTTATGTATTGCTATCCCATTTAAATTTACCTCATTTCCCAGGTGCCTTGCCTCAATTTGAATTGATTTCCTGCTTCTTTTTAATGTTTCTATGAACAAAGCAAAGTTTACATCCTTTCACATTAATAATATATTGTGCCTTCAAATTCCTCTCAAACATTTCTGATACGTATAATCATCGTTTGAAATGTCATAGTGGAAGAGATGTTGTTTTGGTATACGTCTAAAAATGCATACAGCTATACATAAGTATTCTCAATGACTCATTCATTCACTACACCCGTCTGATAAATGTCAAACCAGCTGATTATTAGTGTAATGAGTACAAGTAATGATCCGATTCTTGCTGTAACGCAGTCATTCAGACAGTCAACTTATTCTGTCAGCCACCACATTTGAAGCTGCTACTGTTAAGTTTTTCTTGAGGGCTTGTCTGACTGTACATGTATGTGGTGATTTAATACTGCAAAGCAGGAACAAAGACAGGACTGCAGCAGTATAAATGTTGTTGAAGACATATAGTGACTTTGTCTGATAATGGTTTCAGCATCCTGAGACACATATTTTTGCCAGGACCATTTTCTATTTCATAGCCATTAATTGTTGGACTGCCATTTTCTATCGTACATTTCATAGTCATTTTAAATTACCTATGGTCATTTCTCTTTCAGCAATATTTTTGCAGATTCCCTTGGTTTAGGGACCAAAATAATAATTAGCATTCCGTTAATAACAAATTTTTAATTTCCTCAAATTTAAACTTATATTTGGTTTTGATCAAATCATACAAATGTGTGTTTGTTTAAGAGTTGTACCTTTTCATTATTTCTGAACAAATATGTAACCATAAAAATATAATTCAACCTTTATATAAAAAGACCACCTGTGTATGAAGTCCTTTTTAGCTCCGCCCTCGACTTTGTCGAGCGGAGCTTATCATACGAGTGATTGTCCAACTGCATCTTCAATTCTCTAATTTTGATGAATATTTTTGGTAAAAAGTGATATTTTCAACTTCTTGTTAAAAACCACAAGTCCAATTGCTTTGATATTACATATATAGGTACTACATGTGGACCTCTCTCAGATTTGTTCATTTCATGATGATATCTTCAATTCTCTGATTTTGATGAATATTTTTGTCATTTTTGGTAAAAAGTGATATTTTCAACTTCTTGTTAAAAACCACAAGTCCAATTGCTTTGATATTACATATATAGGTACTACATGTGGACCTCTCTCAGATTTGTTCATTTCATGATGATATCTTCAATTCTCTAATTTTGATGAATATTTTTGTCATTTTTGGTAAAAAGTGATATTTTCAACTTCTTGTTAAAAACCGCAAGTCCAATTGCTTTGATATTACATTTATAGGTTCTACATGTGGACCTCTCTCAGATTTGTTCATTTTGTAATGATACAATGTATCTTTAATTCTCTAGTTTTGGTGAATATTTTTGTCATTTTTGGTAAAAAGTGATATTTTCGACTTCTTGTTAAAAA